CCAAATTTTGTTGTTTCTGCCTAGCATATGAGCTTACAAAAGAACCTAAGTCACCATGTTTCGCTTAAGTTGATGTAAGAACAGTTAGTTGAGTACTCCTCCTTAAATTGAAGGAAAGGCTTAATGGTGCAGACAAATTTTCCACGCCCCTTTCTGCCTAGAGGATTTTTCGATTTGTGGCCCTACCGATTATACAAACAGTGAGACGCATCGGAGTGTCACAAGGCAGATGGGACAGGGTAGTTTTAGGCGCTTAGCCCGAACGACTAAATAGAGGGTAATTACAGCAGTCGAAGGAGAACTCGCCACCTTTATCCTAGAGCTTCTACCTACAAATTTCACTCAAAATGAAAGTTAGATCAACAGCAACTCATTATTCAAGTAACATCCATCACCAGATATTGGTTTGGTTTCAGAAAGTCGAAGAGGACATAATCGTCACTCTGTCTAACATTTTATATTGCGTTTTTGGATAGATCTATTGACAATTTACATATATACATAAATACGTGTATACATACTTAAAGGTTTCATATCAATGTTATCAATAATTAGAGTCAAAATAAGCCTTTATGAACAAAAGTAAATTCCATGGAATTATGTTTGCAAAGAAGTGAGTTGACTTCGTTGTCGTAACTTGGTCTAGTTGTCAGGGCGACTTAATAGAACGCAGCTAGTCCGAAGTCGTCTGCCATAGTAGTTGTCATGATTCTCAGCATGAGACAATGGACTCGGAACATTCTCAAACGTCTCGCCGGCTTCGTAGTTGGCATCATCAGCGAATTCTGCCATTTTCCGCAAAGTTTCAAGTAGTTAAAGTGAGCTCAAACTCAACTCGATAGCAAATAAACACCCAGGCCCAGACACCATTTTAGCTTGAGTTCGTTTAATGAAGCCTATTTCCCTCGTGCTGTCTAATATTCTGTACTCGAGCACTCAGGCGCTACGCAATATGTTAAATCGGGGCAATTTATTATGTAAAATGTTCAATAGTGAATGGAAAAGGCAATGACAGTCTTCAGTCTAGTCTAATATTGCTTTGGAGATGTAATGTATGTTCTGAGCATATTTATAGATAGTGTCGAGAAGATCAAACCAGTCAAGCACTATAGAAGATATTGCTTAATTGCCAAACCAATGACTTTTTGAAACGACTAAACGTGGTAGGGACGAAGATTTTAAAATTCTTTTTTACAAGATCTCTGTAGGTATTTGTGTATTTGTTCCATGCTTGCTTGCCCAGTATGTCAACCACATCATTGACTTCTAATGAACTATACTTTTGATCAAGAGATCTGTAGTTTGCCATGGTTATTGAAACTGGTGGACAGAATCCCACTTAGCATCACCCTTAAATGGTTTTCCCATTTTGGATGGACTATATTTTCGAACTCGTTTGGGTCTTCTATCCATTTGCATTACTAATTTGGCAGCAGTGATGGTATTCCAGGCAATAATGGGCTAGACGGAAGTCTGTAAATGCCTTTTGTACTCAATATTATGCTAGGGCATCACTTTTTCACTTAAAAGATCGCACCCATCTAGCACATTGTGCAACAATACAGAATATTAGACGGAATAAGACATCGTCAACTTGCAGAAGTTAAATAATGTCTTGCGCCAGGTGTTTCTCGGCTATTTAGTCGTTATTGTGCTTACTTACACAGCCTCGTTCAGTTAAAGAATTCATTCAAGGTTAACTGTAACTTTCGATGCATAATTTTATTGAATACAATTTTGTTCATTCGCACTCCACTTGTTGATAGCGATGATTTTCAAACCATCCATATGGATTCATATTGCGTATAGATAGGCTCTAAAAAGGTTGTGGGGAGAAGCACAAACCTAAAACTGTACTAGAATCTAGACTGGGCGAAAAACCAGACCTCTTGTTTCTACCTCCTCCCCCTTTTGACTGTACTTACTTAGAACTCTGTTCTTCAAACCTCAACTCCAACATGCGCAACTGCGTCTCCAGCTCAAAAATGTCCTGGTCGCACTGTTCTATCTCGTCACGTACGTTTACATGGGCTTCATCCAGTTGATTGGCCTTCTTGTCGTAGAGCTCGAAGAAGCTGGACATTGCTTCAATTTGGTCTGGCGCGAACGGGTTAACCGCATGAGAGAGTGTCAGCGGAGCTTGGTGCTGTGGGTACGAGGTAAAGAAATAATCACGTCTTACCAAAGCTGGGCATTATAAGTTAATTACATGGGAAGATTTCATTTAATCATTAACACATTCGATCGAATAAGTGGCCCAGTTCATGGGCGAAGCAAACTATAAAATGTTGGAGAAACAATGATTTTGTCTAAAAATTATTGATAAAAAAATACTAAGGTCGGTCTCACCAGAAGACGAAACATGATTATCGTAGCATTGTAGTCATTTGGCTTTGATACGGCACTCAGGTTGACGCAGTTTACAAGACTTTCTATCTTGTTTCAAGTAAAAATTGGCTAAGCAATTGTTTAGAAGATGGTGGAAATTGGCAGACCTGGAATTCATTCTTGTAATTATTGCAGATAATTTTTCGTTTATAATTAGGCTTTGGATAGTACCAGTAGATCATATATATAAGATGTAATCATGCTATTTGGTTTATAGTGGTAGAATGACAGTGGCGATTCTCAGTCAACTTTCTAACGTCATTCATCACATTA